TGCTGAACAAGAAATAGAGCTGCAAAAGTGGAACAAATTTCTGATTGCTCTGCTCTTAAGCTTGAGTTTTTGGACATCTTCACTCCTGTTGAGCTTAAATAACTTGTGTTGACCTGTGCAACTTAGTTTTGCCTCTTGTGAATCCTTTGGCCATCCCACAGTTATGTTGATTAACACAAACTTCCCATTCAAGAACAGAGAGCTCTTTTCTCTAGAGCTGTGGAGATTATCTTTCCATGTCAACCAGTGCAGCACAATCTTTCCTGTAGCCTTGCTTCAGCAAGTTTGTGCTTTTCTAACATTACCCTTCGTTGTTGGTTTCCAAACCTATAATAGTACCACTCACAACCTCTACTTTTGATGTAGCTGTAAGGAATAACTATTTCATTGTGGAGAAGACTATTGATACCAGTTACCTACACGTTGGACTGTCTCCCCTTTTTCTGCAGTTCTACAGATAGATGGTTTCAGTTTATAAACCAATATTATGACAAATGGTACAAATAAACTTATCTAGAGTAGCCCTTGGGAGCTTGCCTCTGGAATTATTTTGAGAAAGGCTAATGTCATTAATTCATCTCTCATGAGCTAACTCTGAAGACTTTTGCTGACAGTTTAAGCATGCTTATTGCTGGAGGATGACTTGCCAGGAAAAGGATTTTAGAAAATCTGGACTTCTGCCCATTTTTGGGGGGTATCACTATAACTACATTGTCTTGAAAATTTCAATTTCCTGTAATAACCATGGTAAAGAGTCTTTTAGAAAAATCAGACTTGATCAGTGCTGGGTATTGTAGCAGTTTCATTATTTTTTGTTTTTGAAAAAACAGAGCACACCCTCATCTGCCCCAGGAACTGTGGACTTGATTGGATGCAGAAACCTGCAGGTAGATCAGTGGGTTGATCCCCCTCCTTGTCCTCTGCTGGCTTGTCCTTTTAGAGTAGGAGTGAAGAGCCTGTCAATTTTGTTTCCCTTTAGGAATTTATGGTTGAATAAGCATTAGATTTATAGCCTCAGACATGCTGAGAAAGTGAAAGCTGATTAGCTGAAGTGGGAAATGTGATATGATTCAGACTGCTCACGCCCTCATTTTTTTTCTTTTTCTAATGTCTGGTTGTATCACAAATATGTCAAACCACTGGAAGGAAAATTCTGCCACTTAAAGATGCAACTTTTTCACTCCATCCTTTAATGCCTCGGAAAGCCCCTTCTCTCCTCCTTAGGGGGCAGGAAAGGTAACACCAGGCATTCCTAATATTCATTAGAGGAATGCTCTTAAGAAAATAATATGTCAGACTTCCTTCACTCTAGTGAAGCCAAAAAGGGCAAAACCTAGTTTTTAATTTTCTTCTTCATTGGTTCATGTGTGATTTGTCCTGAGGAAGGTAACTGCATGTCTCAGAGGATACATATGTGGATGTGTACTCCCACACAAACTGTCAGTACTAAGGAAGCAGAAGAGTGGGATACATTTCTGATACTGCTTGGTTTTGGACACCTCAGTACATAACTAGGGTTACCTTTGCAATGATTTTTTTGTGGATAAAAGACCCTCCCCCAAAAAGTTGCAGTAAAGAAAGACATCTATAGATAAAATTTTAAAATACATAAAAACAAATTTGGGAGCTTCTTAAGGGTTCTGCCTTCCAAAGGGTTAAAACATTGTGTAGAATTTGATAAATATTCCAATACTTATTGAACACACTGCTGAATTCTGCCAGGTTTTATGAAAATGTAACCCTCTGCAAGTGGCAATAAAGCACTCCCAAGGAAGTGAGTTGGAGCCATTGTTTGGTCTAGGATAATACCTGAGCTGTCTCTTAACGTGGCAGGTACCTGAAAACCTGCACTCACTGATATAAAACCCCTGGGTGTTCTAAACAAAAGCAGCTGCCAGTCTTGAGTCTGAGTCTGAGCCTGAGGTCATGGGCCAAGAACAATTGCCACTTTCCAGGCTCTTTGGTGCCAGCAAACGCTCCACGGGCACAGTGCCCAGCCTCGTGCTCTTGTGCAGGCATTTGTGGTGCAGATACTCCCATGGGGAAGGACAGGTAGCTCCTGTGCACTGGGAAGAGAGAAGAAATTTTTCTTCCTGCAGCCAAACGGAAAAGTTTTCTCAGGTTACTGCTTGCTCTGTGTGCTGGATTCAGGCATAAATACTTAGGTAGGTCACACAGTGCCAGCTACAGTAACTTGCAGACCTTTTCCTCTGATGAAGGTTGCTTTGGAAATAAGTGGCTTCTTCAGCTACTGAGATGCTTCTCTGGGGAATCATTGCTAAGGTGCAGGTCCTGTCACCTGGGACACTGGGACAGATTTATCCCACCTAGAAGTGATTGAAACTGCAGCTGTGGGGTGGCATTGGGATGCTTTTCTGCCAGAGGCTAGGGGAGCTGGACATGACAAACTGGCTTCTCAAAGTCTGAGGCAGGATGATTAGGGGAGATGAACACAAACCCTGAGTAAATATAGGACATGGAAGGGACCTTTGTGCTGAGAGCAATCTTTTTCAGCCCTTGCTTTAATTCTCTAGGGTTGCCTTCTGAAATGCTCATATATGAGCATCTGAATCAGTAAATCAGGGATTTATTGTCTCTTTGAGACATACCCAGACTTATTTCTTTCCCTGGTCACCATAAACCTTTTGACTGCATGACAGGCATTTGCTGTGTGTGCCCGTGTATTTGTCAGATGGTTTATGGGCAGATTCAACCAAATATGAAAGAAGAATAATTCACTTTGTACAACCGTGGTCCTGGCTTTGAAAGCAATGCCAGTTGTCTAGGGCTTTGTGGCCTGGTGGAACTTGCAGTTACCAAAGTTTTTTCTGGAAACTGTTCATTTCAGGAGCAAAAGAATGGTGCCTGCCCACAATTACTGCTTCTGCTGTGTAGAGGCCTGTGCCCATCTGTGGGATCCCCCCGACCCAGTCTCCATTGCAAGGACAAGGAAGATTCTTGACTAAGAGTTCTGGGAAAGGGTTGTCTTGGTGGTGTATGAGAAGGTCTGTGTCTGTTTTTTTGGCCTGCCACAAGATTTCCTGGATGACTGGGATTGTCAGTGTCTAGCATTTCCAGATACATGGAATAGGGATAGAATATCCTCCTGTTGTCTTGCCCCCTGAGGAGTGAGGCTGTTGAGGGATGTGTTCATTGAACAAGTGTTTTGTAGTGATTTGTTAAAAACCATTGAGCACAACTGGAATGGATCAAAGTCCAGTGCCCTCAACGCTGAGCATAGGCTTTCTGGAGTGATGCAGTAAAGGTGGCTGAATGTCCTCCATGCATGGCAGAGCCACCTAGCCAAGATATGCAGTGCTGTCAACCAGAGGTGGTTTTGGAAGACAAGCATCAGGCTGGTTGGATGCTGTGATGATCAGTTAGGCCAGCTACGTTTCATGCAATGTATGGAAGATTTAACTTCTACCTGAGCACACTGTGGTTTTTGTACCAGCTGTGTCTTCCTAGCTTCAGAGTTTATGAATCAGATTGGTGAGGCACTACACCTTCTGCAGGAATCTTCATCTTTGACACAGAGCTTAGGCCAAGGGACCAGAAGCATCACATCTCAGCCAAGCTATGTTAGGCAGCACAGTTGAATTGTGTACCTACCAGGGCAGCTGTTCTCCTGGAGTTGGTTTGGCAGCCTGATGGTTGGGAGAGCAGCAGAGCAGGTGAAATTATTTTGGGGGAAGCATCTGAAATTTCCTGTGTGTGCAGCAGTGGGTTTTGTTTTCTGGAGAAATCTTGTGCCCCTGTTCCCACACCCACCATAAGTGTCCCTGTGCTCTGCACTAATGCTCTTTGCGTCTGGAATGTATGAGTAAAAGTGGTTGTTTGTGTAGCAAGCCCAGTGTTTCCAGGAAGCACAAGAACTGCATGTGCACAGACAATCCAGTGCTGTCTGGACATATCAGACATTCTACAAAGTCACCCGCCAAGTATGCAGAACATGGGCTGCAGGTGTGCCCAGCTCCTTTCTGCAAGCTGTGTCTCCTCCATAGGTGCCAGCAACTCACAGGATACGTGGTGCTTCCTGGAGACCCTGAACTTACCATGTAGAGCAGCACAGCACCAGGGATGCAGAGAGTAGCTTTGGCCTGGCTCCTGTGAGCCTAGAAAGATGCCCAGACAGGTGCACAAATTCTTCACTGCTGGCCTGGTGACATCTCTCAGTGAACAAAAGGAATGAGACCAGGACAGTCCAGCTGAACTGTAACCCTACCTCAGCCGAGTCTTATGTGAGTCCTAGAAATCAAGCTCTCACAGGTGAATGGGCACTTCTCAGTGGGTACTTAGCCAAGACAGTGCCACACACTGTGTCATGAGATGCTGTGAGTTTTCTCTTAACCCTTGGAGGAACTGAGCAATGTGTTCTGGAAATGCATCACTGGTGGGTTGATAATTGCCACCACAATACACTGCAGTTGGAGAGCAGGAGGCTGCTTGGGTTAAGTGCTGTTCCTAAGCCTTGTTAAGTTTGTTGCATGGGAATCCCCAGAGGGTAAGAGGAAGGGAGAATTAGGGGGGTGTTTGCCTGGAGCAGTAATGAGTATATTTTTAGTAGAAGGGAAGGGACATCTCTAGTCGTGGGATAACAGCTGCACAATTTCAGAATTCCTCTGACAAGATGTAGCCAATTCCAGGGCTGCAGGGTTTGAGGGGTTTGTTTTGGTTTTTGTTTTTCCAAGTTTCAAGTGCCGTCAGCCAATCTCCTGCTCCCTGACTGTATTGTTCAAAGCACAGATGCTGTTTTGTTGTGTTGATGAGGTCTGAGTGAGCAGTTCCCTGTTACCATCCGTGCTGTGCCCTTAGCATCCCCTAAGCGTTGAGCAGGACCCACAACTTGCTGGAGAAGACTTTTTATCTCTCCGAATCAACTGAATCCCTCCCTCATTTTTGGAAGGAGGACTTCAGTGTATTTTGGGTACTGGGAATGATGTGGTTAGCTCCTTCACCTACTCCCTCTTTTCTGATTTTGAAATGCAGCCGAAGAAGAGAGACTCAAGCCTTCTGGGTCTTGTGTGGAGCCAGGTTTTTCCCAAGGGCCATTAGCAGGGATTTAAAGCACATGCAGGATCTCCATTCCACCCTGTGCCTGGCAAAAACAGCCTCTCTCTTCCTGTCTTGAATTTGTATTGGGATAGGAGCATGAACCTGTGGGAGTAACTGTTTCATTGAGAAATGGAAAGATCTCCATGGCTTCTTGGATTATTTTTTTTTTTAATGTTTGTTTGCTGAGAGAATTCTGGGGACAGAGGGAGAAGGAGCATTGGGTAAACACTGGAAGCCCAGAGCTACCGTTGCCTGATCAGAGACACACAGGGTCAAGTACAGTGTGGGACCCATGCTGGACAATGTGGGAATCTGGCCATCTACTTTCCATGCTAAGCGTTACCAAGGGAAGGAAATTGCATTGAAATGTTAAACTGTTGCCCTGATTTACATTTTTAGAGAGAAGAACTGGTGGAGTCAGCTCAGGACTCGCAGTAACCTGTGAGGCCCTGGGAACCAGCCGATATTTCAAACAAACAAAGGTCCCTGGCTGCACTGTCAGGTTCTGACCACATTGCTTATTGTCTCTTTCAACAGATCTTGGAGAATGTACTGCTAAAAGCACTGGCTTCAGCCAGGCATATCACTGCCTCCACCACTGAAGTCCCCTTTGGTGTGTGCAGTGCAACCCACAGCACACCTCTGGTCAGAGCACTGTCCTCAGCTTAATGCCTTCTTTTGGAAAAAGACACAGGGTCAGCTGAGGAACACTGCTGACTTGTCTCAGTTATTTAAGGAAGGTTGGTGGTGCTGGCCTTCCTGAAAGTGCCATTTTGGAGCAGAGTGAGGTGCTGTGCAAGGAAGCGCCAGCCTGGCTTCTGCAATTCAGTCAGCAGAATTTACCTGGATCACACCTGAATGTGGACATGGGGCAGATGGCACTGTGCCTCCAAGTTCTCTGGTGCTCTTTGACTTACAGACCTACTGCAAGACAGACCTAGCAATTCCATGCTACGAGGCTGCTCCTTTGCCAGAAACAAAGAACTACCTCAGCCTTCAGTGAGAGAGCCACAGTGGTCTTCATCACCAAGGCTCAGAGCAGTGCTGTTGATTATCCAGGCTGTGAGATCTGTGGTGTGACCAAGTGGGCTGGCAGAGTGAAGGAACACAGATTAAAACTGTATTAATTTACCTGCTTTTTTGTCACCTGTTCACTGCCTAAAGGAAAGAGGAGGGAAGCAGGAGGCATACATGGAATCTGTGCTCTGTGGGTTGTGCATGGCAGTTCAAAGGCCCATGTGAAGAAGCTGGTGCCTTTCTTGCTGTCTTCTGGGCCAGTGGGGAGTTGCTTGGGTGTCAGAAGCTTGTTTAATGATGCTGATGTAATTCCCATTTCCTCTACTTTATAGGTACAATGGCTTGGTGACTGGCTCTCGAGCTAAAGGTATCATTGCCATCTGCTGGGTATTGTCTTTCATCATCGGCTTGACACCAATGCTAGGGTGGCACAAGCGCTCCCAGGTCGAAGAGCTGGGGTCCAACAAGTCCTCTCCCATCAACTGCAGCAACAGTATGGTGGTGTGTCTCTTTGAGGCTGTGGTCACCATGGAGTACATGGTCTACTACAACTTCTTTGCCTGTGTGCTCTTGCCCCTCCTCCTTATGTTTGGTATCTACTTGAAAATCTTCATGGCAGCCCGGCGACAGCTCAAGCAGATGGAGAACAAGATGGTACATGGGGAACGTTCCCGCTCCACTTTGCAGAAGGAAGTCCATGCAGCCAAGTCTTTAGCCATCATTGTTGGGTTGTTTGCAGTCTGCTGGCTGCCACTCCATATTATTAACTGCTTTACCCTTTTTTGCCCAAATTGTGCCCATGCTCCCCTCTGGCTGATGTATCTGGCTATCATCCTCTCTCATGCCAACTCGGTTGTAAATCCTCTAATTTATGCCTACCGAATCAGGGAGTTCCGATACACCTTCCGTAAAATCATCAGCCAGCACATCCTGGGCCGGAAGGAGCCGTTCCAGGCGGGAACAGCCAGCTCCCGGACTTCCACGCACGGCGGGGACGCGGAGAACGCCAGCATACGGATCAGTGAGTATGCGCTAGAGGTGTACACCAACGGGGAGATCCACAGAGATCCTGAAAAGCAGGACTTCAGCAAATGCAAAGCTGCCTTGGAATGGCACCAGAATGGAAACACTCTGGATGTGGAGAGAAATGGGCATTTCCCACATTCCTGCAAAAATGGGATTCTCTCAGATGCACGCCTGAATAGGGAGCTTCACAGTGAAGAGCTAATTGATGCCCAGGTGTCTTACTCAGATCTAGAAAGAGCAGCCTTCGCAGCAGCAGCTGATGTTTCCTGATGAGGCTTCCGGAGTCTACCTGGTAGAATGATTATTTCTCCATTGGTGACCTCTGCCATGGCAGAAAGGGAAGGCTGGGGGGCGGGGGAGAGGTTTGTATTCAGATTGCTGTGGAGAAAGGGGTCCCTACCCTGGACTGTTGGGATGATCCTAAATACTAGACTGGAGAAAAGCCAAGAGACCATTGAAATGGACTAAGGAAGGAGGGACACATCTATCAATGACCTGTCACCAAGAGCAGTGCCAAGGTCAAAGATGGCATTCCAAGTTCAGCACTGGGAGACTCTGCTGATGCAGGGCATATCATGACATTATGCTGTGTGTCTGTGGTTGTGTGTCGGGTTTGCTGGCTTTCCCAACAGAAACGAAAGCATGGCTGGAAGCCTCCTCTGAATTGCAAAGAGCAGGGAGGGGCCGTTCAGTACTTTGGCCCTGCAGCAAACCGAAGGGGGACAGCAACATCTATTGGTCAGGAAGGATGCCAGCAGCTGCCTGGAGAGGGAAGGAATTTACCTGATGGGAACTTTGGATACCTTCAACCATGGTGTTTTGTCTTTCAGTTCATGTTTTTAAAGCTTAGACTGCAACAGGTTGCTGAAAAGGTTTTTTTCTTGTCTTGGTTACTTTAAGTTATAAAAGATGGGCAAGAACTCATACCCATTTCCTGAGCATTCAATGTTCCAGATGCCCAAGGCAAATATAACCTCATAGCTCTCCACTTTGCCTACCAAATAATAAAAGCAGAGTCTGTAATATGGATTTCCCTTAGCAAAAGGGCTGTGAGCAGGACTTGGTGCTGCAGGTAGTAGACAGGCTAGGTTGTGGTCTGTGTCACCAGGGTGGTCATGCCCTAGGTGATGTGAAGAGCTATCAGGTGTGTGAGCTGTCCACAGGCTGGTGGGCACTATCTGCTTTTTCCCCTACCTCTCTGCTTGTCCTCTTGGGCTCCTGGAATGCAAATTCCTTCCATGGCCCTAAATGTGTGCAAGGGGAGCTAATTTTCCATGTTTTGGTCATTTTCATCCTCACTCAAAAGGCTATGGGGTTTGTTTTTTTTCTTTCTTGGGTTAGGAAGGAACACACACACACCTAACACCTATTTTTAAAATTCCAGTGACCTCTATTTAAACACTTTTTCTCCTGTGATTTCAGTTTTTTCCTGATGTGCTTTACTGTGAAGCCTGTTGTGTCCCTGCAGAGCAGAGGCCCACAGAGCTGGGTCTGTCTGGTTAGAAGATGCTCATACTCTGAGAAGCTGAAAAGTGTCAGTAGCGGTAGAAATCAGCTTAGAAACTGCACTGGTCTGTTTGTATAAGAGAACTGGCAAACCTGTGCTGATGTGGTTTGTAGTAGAGTTGTTTCACAGCAGTTTGATAATTTTCTGTATCACTTATGAAGCCTGGTAGCTCAAGGACAGCAGAATGCCACATCAGCTTGAATTCTACCTAAAGATTTTCCGGTCTTTGTTTTCCAGACAAACAATCCATGTCCAACACCACCAGCCTTCTGGAGCTGCAGGCAGTAGTGGTTCTACTGGAAAACTAGAAGTCTGGTAATTCTAGGGATCTGAAACTTATTCCCTAGCTGAAAATATCAGAAGTATCAGCCCCCAAACCTGGCTCCTCCTGTTCACTAACGTTACAGAAGCCAAATAATCTCATTTTCAGCAAGGACAGGAGAACTGGATTTTGATATTTGAGGAAGAGCCTGTTAGGTTGGTTTGTTCTTATTCCATGTTTATTTTAAATATTTTGAACTATTAAAATTATAGCCAGTTTTATTTGAGGAGAATTTTCTTCTTCCCCAACATGAAGGTGGGGAATAGTTTACAATGCAGAACGTGTTCAGGTGTGTATCTGCTCCAGGCCAGCACAAAGCTTCTGTGAGACAGGTAAAAAGATGCGGTTGCCACCACAATCCTTAGCAGAAAGGCAGGCAGTTTTGTGGAACAATAGACTTCTCAGTTTAATCAAATTGATGCTTCCTTGGCATGGCTCTTCCATGCAGTCTAACGTCAGAGGAGTGGATTATCACTCCAGCACCATTAACAACCTCTAAGCCATTTCCCTGTGACTGACGTAGTAGGTTGTTTCTCTGTAGGGTGACTTGGGATCTTATTACTTGATCTTTCTTGGTGGAATATTCCTGTAAGTTAGTTGTGGGATGGCTCCTCTGTCCTGTAACAGTGGCAGAGGAGCTCAGGAAAATGGGGGCCTGATATCTTCAGGCCTGGGTTGGGTGCTGAAATGTTTCTAAAAATAACACAGGATTACATCCGGTGTTCATGGCAATAACAATTAAGTCCATAAAGAAGCAGAGCAGGGAAGAAAGTGTGGGAAAATACCAGCATTGCTCATGTGCTGGGACACGTGGAAGTGCAGAAGTGTCTCCCATTGAGCTTTAGTTGCCATTATAAAGGGATGTTTTATGCCACACTGCATCAGACTTTCAACAGCTGGTGTGGGTTGGTTGCTTTCTATTGTTTCCTGGGCTTCTTCACACTCAATTATGGCAGCTTCTTGTCTGGTTGCCACAAGAATCCAGTTGATGTATGTTGATGCAACAGACTTAGAATTGTCCCTCTGGAAAACTTCCCTGGCTAACCAGATTGCCAGGCAAGTTTAACTAAGTTTCCAAATGTCTTGAAATTAACTTATTTGTTGCTGCTGGAGATGTCCCCAAGTATGTTCAGTCCCGTTCAAAATTAGTGATCCAGATTTGAAAATAAAAGGGTGTGTGCTGGAGGAAGTGCAGCAGGGGTGAGGAGGCAGTGTGTTTTATCTAGAGTTGGAAGTCTGTAGTCACAGGAAGGAAAGGATGGCAATTGCACCACATGCTGGGTGCCTTCTGGCAAACATATGTCTGAGTTGGACTTTCAGAAGATGTTTCTGAAGCAGTGTTGGGGGAAGCATGAGCCTTTTGAACAGAATTTTGGACTTGTTTCCTAGGAATCAGGATTTCAAGGCTTGATTTTATTATCTTTAAAAAAAAAAAACAAAAACCAAAACCAAACCAAACATAAGCTGAAGGGTCCTGTCAATGAAGTGTGCTCTTTCCTTCTCCTGGCAGTGACCTCCACTCTTGAGAAAGGTACCTGTCTTCCAAACTGCATGGGGCAGGCATCATTAGAAAAGTGAAAATAAAGTCATTCTTTCCTAACCTCTCCATTCATATCCCCATTTTCCTTTCAGCTGGAGAATATTTAGCTGATGAAATATAGCTGTTCTGATAAACAGAAATGGTACCAAGACAAAGGGAAGAATGAGGTGACCATGAGCAGAGGCTGGAGACAACCTCCTAAGGAATCCAAGGTGCAGTGAGTCCAAAGAGTAAGAGCCAGGGTAAGAAGAGACTAATTTCATTGAACTAGAACTTCTTGCTAAAAATGGTTGAACACCCATGTAGATATGTGGTGCCTCACTTGGCCTGGGGGCATTCCATGGATTTCACCATCCCTTGGAGACTCTTAGGCTCCAGGGTTTATTTGCTTTATAGGGTTTTAGGGAAAGTAAAGTCTGATCACTTGCCAGAAGTAATTTTATCAAGAGTTCTTCTCGGGGCCCTCTCCTCACCAGGGCACTGGTGCAAACAAATGCAGTTACAGCCTTGGCCTTCAGAGGTTTTTTTGGATCAGTAATATTTCAAAGCTCTGTGCAATCTTGGACTGCAGCTCTTGGACAGAGAAGCATGTTGGCATGGTGGGACAGCTGGGGGTTACCATAGACAGAAAGGGTTTGCCACGGATCCCAGTTTGTCTTTGGAAGCTTATTGTGCAGATAGACTTGGGAGTTACATGGAGTAGTCTGAATCTTTGATCATTCTTTGAAAAGAGGCTCCAAGAGGATGCTGGTGGGTACAGAAAAGTCTCTGAGGTGTGGGAGCAGACTGAAGGGTTAGGGTTAGATGGGAAATCTTGGTGGGAAAGGAAAATTTGTAGAGTAGGTGTTTAGGAGGATTTCAGGGGCACGGGAATGTGCTGGGAGGTGCTAGGGATTGCACAGATGGTGCTGGCATGAGACCAAGGTGTGACTTGCTGAGGAAGGACTCTGGAAAGGATGTAGAGTCTTACAGCTCTCCGGGAGTCACTGCAGAGGGTTGGCCTTGCCTGATGTGCACTGAAGGTTGACTTAATGTGGTCTATATGTGACTAAGGTAGAGATACTTCTTAGGGACTACCTCCTTTTCAGATGCATTGTATCCTTTCATGATCATGTTCAGGTGTCAGAAGCCCTTCTGTTTCATGAACATGAGCCCTACCTAAAACCAGATTGATCCAGCCACATTCTGTGGGAAGGATGTGATGCATTAAAGCTGTAGACACTCTCTAGTGGTGTTTGCTAAGTTTAGCTGCCTGATAATTAGTTATCTCCCAATTTGTATGGGGCATCAAACTGCACTTAGTTACACCAGAGAGTTCTGTCTTCCTAGCCCTGAGTTTTTTGCCTTCTTTACAGTAAAACACATCAAGAGTAACTCAAATCACACCAGTTCCTCATTTCCCTGAGAGGTGACTAACCCTGACAGAGAATTCCAAAACTGGAACAACACTGTGTGGAACCCCCTGTCTTACTTGTGTGCTGGGAAGGTTCACAAAGGGATGTGTTCAAGTCAAGACTGAAACCTGTTGATCAGAGAACAACTTTGCTTCCCCCACTCTGCCTCAGGAGCTGGTGTTCCTGCCCCCTGTCCTGTGGAGCAGTTGTCTCTGCATCCTGCAAGCCAAGACACTATGAACTCCCTGCTGCACACACTGTCACTGTAAAACAATTACTCTTTTAATTTAAATGTTTTATTAATATAGTTGTTGTTTTCCCTCTGTGTGTCAGTTACCAGTGGGAGGGGAGGGAAAGGGGTGGGAGAATCTGTGCATGCAAATGTATTTAAAGTGCATTGACCAAAGTTTGTTGTTTGTTTTTCTTTTTTTAACCTGTGAAGTTTTCATATCTGTGAAGTCATCAGACTGCTGGGCAGTGAGGAGCCACTGGTGCTGCTGAGTCTGT